TAAGCCTCAAGGTGGTGAGAGCACAGGACCTCTGGGATTTCCTGGCTCCTACCCGATCTTTGTAGTGATGGTTGTTGGGCTGGAGGGACTGGGTGAGGTGGTAGAGAAAAGTGGACTCAGGGTGACCACATGGGACTGAAAAGGGTGCTGGCCACATGGATGAGAGGGCACGGAGGGCCCTCTCTGCCCAGTTCACCAGGCTCTGTGCCCCGGTGCTGGGGTGCATCCCCCCGGAAAAGGGGCACTCTTCTAGCTTTCCCAAAGATGTCCTGTGCCCCTTACATGAAGGTTGGTGAAGGCGTCATGTGGACCCGCAGTGAACCTAGGCATGAAGACGTTCTGACTTGTAATTTTCTTTTAACAAGACCGTAAAAAATCAGTATAAAATCAGGACATAGGAGAGGTGGATGATAAAATCTGAAAATCAGAGCATGGTAACTTCACTGTTGAAGTAGCATTGCTCGAAAGTTCTCTTTGGGAGTATAGATTTTGGGGCAAGATCTTTTTAGTTTCATTAGTAGATGAACGGTGTGTGTGTGAATGTTTCTAAATGTGTACATTAGTTCTTAAATGAAACAAAAGTCTTCAACTTTCTGAATTCACATCACAGAATAATAGTCTCTAATGCATTTCTTTGTCACAACTACAAAAAGAAGGCCTTTCCGTGCTTTTGGATTTGCTCCCCTCCCGTCCTCTACAAGTTCATCTTCATGGTTAACCTCCCATGATTTGCACATTGCCTCACTCTGCATTGTGTTTCCCATGTCCGAGGCTTCTCATGACTTGTAGAGATACTTTAACACATCGCTGTGAATCAAGGGAGAGGTTTTGTTTCCTGATAGTAGGACACATTTGCTTAATGCATGTATTGTTTAATGTATAATAATGTATGGATTATATAAAGACCTTCTTTTAACTTAATTATCTCTTCAAAGACATTATTTCCAAATACAATTATGTTCTGAGTTACTGGGGTTAGGATAGGACTTCAATGTATGACTTCAATGTAGGACTTCAATCTAGGGCAGGGTACAATTCAGCTCATAACTATGAATTAACATTTATTTTCTTGTTCTCCCTAGGGTAAGTCAGCACAAAGCCTCTATTTTATGATCACAGATCATGACTATGTGATGTGTTTACACCTGGTTCCCTTAGAAGCATGTAGGGAACTGTGCCGTGACTTTCATGGTTGTTCCTTGTAGCACCCGGGGTACGAATTACTTACACAGTAATCACCCCCATTAGAAAAAGTGTAGTTTTGCTAATGCTACTACTTCTTCTCAAGTAGGTACAAACTTGTTCTCTGAACCTTTCTTTCCCTCTCTTTGTGAATCTTTCCCTATCAGTTGTTTGTTCAAGTCGGCCCCAACCTGGGGACTATTGTAAGTTGTCTGGAACCACGTGATGTTTGAGACTAAAAAGCTGCCATAATAAGCATTATGTATGGAAGTTTATTAATCTTTATCACAGACAAAAAGGCCAATATAATTGTTTGATTATTGTTTCTAATCTACCATAGTTCTCTTTTTAGTACCTCACAATTCAGAATCAAGCAACTACATGTGCAGTCTAGCTCGATGCTCTTTCTCTGCCTACTTATATTTTGATATAACTACAGGAAGGAATATACCTGCAACTCTTGGGAGACATTCTTACAAATAGCAGCCTTTTTGGTTGACTTCATGTTGTAGTTTTTCTAATGCTTGCTCTTTGGCGACCAGGAGATTTTCTAGGTCAGTGGGACCAACATGTCTGGAGCTGGGCTGCGCCAGGAAAGGTGGGAAGGAAGGCAACATGAAAGCCACCTTCTTGTCTACACCTCCGTGGAGAATCTTTCATCCCATACACTGTTCCTTTCTCTCTCCTCACCAGATTATGGTATGAGCCTAGGCCTTCATGTAATTTAGGACCAGTGACTTTATGGTTGTTAGGTCTTGAAAAAGAATGACCATCTCTGAACATCATCCAAAGCCATTTTCTGTATGACTGAAGTCTGCTTTGCTCTTCATACTATGAATGAGATGATGCATGGTCTAAAGAGAACAGCACAGAGCATGGGAACTGTCCAGGACTGGTGGGAGGTCAACAAGCAGATCGCTAATGTTCTGGTGTGTGGCACAGTCCCTTAACCGCCCATTTCCTTCCATTGTAGTGCCTACTAAGTCTTGGCCAAAATGCAGGGAAGGCATATATCATCTGTGCTTGCCTTGTTCATCAAAATTCTTCCATTTTCTCTCCCATCTAAATCTTGCATAGTAGAATACATTGGATACTAAAACAGTTGGATACAGCTCAACTCCGTAGTAACTAAGTAATGTCATTTCCCCAGGTCATATAAGATAGTGAGCTGGTTCTAATGCATGTGGGCGCCACATGAGGCTCCCCAGCCAGGGTACCTGTGCCCAGAGGAAGAGTCCCCATAACACCTGGCTTTGAAAGCCAGTGAGGATTATATCCGAGAGAAATGAAGGGCTGTGGAAGGAAGACCAGGATGCTATTCTTAGAGGACTCACCCACGATCTCACTCCATGCTCCAGGGCAGAGGCAGCAGCTGGAGAAGCACCTGGGTCATACAGAGAGGAATTTAACTGACCAACTTCCAGGTGAAGGCCAGAAGGGAGGGATCGGTGGCAACTCTCTCTGGGGATGGAACTGTTGGCAGACGCCATCGTCCCATTGTGCTCTCCTTCCACCTGGCTTGTCCAGTGCAAGCAGGCACCAAATCTGCACCTCTCTGTTAGCCTGGCTAACACTGTTCACCCTGTCACAACATTCCTCAGAGATCCTCCCCTGCCTGCCCTGCCTGCCCTGGCTGGAATTAATCCCAAGCATGCTCCTGACCCTCCAAATGGGTGGAGGCCAGCCTTGGCCCACAGCACAGTCTTTCCCAAGCACTCTTGAGCCAGCACAAGTGGCAGCCAGCCTTGACTCACATTGGAGCTGCTTGGTAGGAGCTCCCAGGCTACCCAGCATATGTGAAGGCCAGTTTCAGCTTAAATTACGGCCTTTCCCAAGTGGCCACAAGCCTGGTACATGCAGCAGCTGGCCTCTGCTCGCTTCATAGCTCCTGCCAGGCAGGCCCAAGCCCAGCACAAGGGGCACCAGCCTGAGCCTGTACTGGGGCCCCTCCCAAGAGGCTCCAGATCTGACGTTCCCTTGTTTAATAGAATAGTCTTTCGTGACTCACTGTTGTACGTTTGCTGAAGATAATTGAGTATGGTGGTTAAGTGGGTTTCTCTGGAGCCTAAATGATCACTTACTGGTGGCCTTGGGTAAGTTCTTTAATCTCCCCATGCTCAGCTTGCCAACTCTGGTAATGACAAAGCCTACTTCATGCAGTCTGCGTGAAGATTAAAGAGGATATCACTTGAAAAGCACCTAGAATTGGTTGCTGGCACTATGTAAACACCTGATACATATTAGCTTCTCTTATGGAAAAAATAAGAATGTTCTTAGAGAACATTATTTTGCCTCACTAAGCAGGAAAATGATCGCCACCACTCTTATAAAAACATGGAAGTGCTCCTTGAGCTGCCAACTTGTTTCAAAAACGCCATTAAAAGTAGGCAAATATTGCTGCTGTGTGATGGATGAATGGGAGTGTGTTTTAGTATTGCCACTAAGCTCGTGTATGATTGAAATTTTCCAAGTAAGTGTTTTTTAAAGCAGTTTTGTTAATGATGCTTACCTTTAAAGACCTTGGGGAAAACTACATCTTTTGTCTTTCATTACTGATCCTTCATCTGGCTTGTGCTATGTGATTCTTTCCTAAATGTGTTCCTTATTTCTGCTCACCTCTTCTACTTATTAAAATCACATTAAGCTTAACTATTTCCTTATATCCTTTACTTTTATTACCTTCCATTAGAATATATCTTGATTCCCCCCCTCAAACATTTGTGAGTACTGAGTATTGAACAAGTGCTCAGACTGAAGTATATTGGGCAGAGAAACAAGGAAATTTCAACTTCCAAGTTTCGTACTTCCTTATTAGATTTTTGTCTTTGTATATTTCTTTGTTTTACTTCAACCGTGTTTTAGTTTTATAACTTTTTTTAATCCTCACCCGTGGATAGGTTTATTGATACTTGGAGAGAGAGAGAGAGAAGGAGAGAGAGGGAGAAAAACATCCATTGGTTGCCTCCTGGATATACCTCGATCAGGGACTGAACTTGCAACTTTTTGGTGTTTGGGACAGTGCTCCAACCAACTGGGCCACCTGGCCAGGTTACAACATTTTTTTTAAAAGATTTTATTTATTTACTTTTAGAGAGAAGGGAAGGGAGAGAGAGAAACATTATTTGGGGGTTGCCTCTCACATGCCCCTTACTGGGGACCTGGCCTGCAACCCAGGCATGTGCCCTGACTGGGAATTGAACTGGTGACCCTTTGGTTCGCAGGCTGTCACTCAAACCACTGAACCACACCAGCCAGGGCAATAACATTTTTAAAAGGAAAAAAAATTTAAACCGTGCTTTATATGGTGCTATTTGAAGAACTGTTATGATGTGCAGGACTGAGATGCTCACCAGGGCTGAAATGGACACAGAACAGACATTCAGACTTGACCCCAAAGCCTTGCAAATGGACTTTCTTTATTTAAAAATAATGACCTTTGCAAGTATTTTCTTCCTACTTTTCCTTTTTCTGTCTGTTTTGATTAGTGATTATTGGAGAACTCAAAAGCAAGAAACAGAATGGTTCCCAGTGCAATCCAAATTTTCCAATTGCTGACTGAATATTGTAACACTGAACTGCAGGGACCCTACAGGCCATAAAACGCAACTGTGCTCATGACTTTAAAGTCACATTTGTCCTTTGCTTGTAAGCAAAATGTCATAGAACATTTAGCTCCGTTCAGTGCCTGTATTACACCCGAGCTTAAAGAATGGGGGGTTGCTGAGCGGAGTGTCCCTTTATTTTCGCTTCGCTTCCCTCAGTGTGAATTTCTGACTGTCACTAGAGAAATGTGACCTCCTGGGTATGTCTACTCGCAGGCAAAATGAAGGACCGGTTGTCAGAACTTCTGGAGTTAACCAGGCAGTATGACCAGCAGTTCGCAGACGGAGGTGACGACTTGGACTCGCCCCACGAGGATGTCGTGTTCGAGACGGACCACATCCTGGAGTCCTTGTACCGAGACATCCAGGATCTTCAGACTGAAAACCAGCAGCTCATGGCAGACGTGAAGAGGCTGGGAAAGCAAAACGCCCGCTTCCTCACGTCCATGCGGCGTCTCAGCAGCATCAAGCGGGACACCAACTCCATTGCCAAGGACATCAAGTCCCGTGGCGAAAACATCCACCGCAAGCTGCGCGCCATGAAGGCGCTGAGCGAGGAGGCCGAGGCGCTGCACGGACCCAACTCCGCGGTGGCGCGCATCTCCCGCGCGCAGTACAGCGCGCTCACCCGCACCTTCCAGCGGGCCATGTACGAGTACAACCAGGCCGAGATGAAGCAGCGCGACAACTGCAAGATCCGCATCCAGCGCCAGCTGGAGATCATGGGCAAGGACGTCTCGGGAGACCAGATCGAGGACATGTTCGAGCAGGGCAAGTGGGACGTGTTCTCCGAGAACCTGCTAGCTGATGTGAAGGGCGCGCGGGCCGCCCTCAACGAGATTGAGAGCCGCCACCGCGAGCTGCTGAAGCTCGAGGGCCGCATCCGTGACGTGCACGAGCTCTTCCTGCAGATGGCCTTGCTGGTGGAGGAGCAGGCCGACACCCTCAACGTTATCGAGCTGAACGTGGCCAAGACCCTCGACTACACCGGCCAGGCCAAGGCGCAGGTGCGCAAGGCTGTGCAGTACAAGAAGAAGAACCCCTGCCGGACCATCTGCTGCTTCTGCTGCCCCTGCCTCAACTAGCGGGCTGGCCTGGGACATCACACTCTATGCTAAAGGGAATGGTCTGGGAAGCGTAATGGGAAGGATTTGGGGGCTCCCTTCATGGGGATGAGTTGTCTCAGCCCCTGTGGGACCTCAGTCTTTAGAGAAAGAAGGAACTCCAGGCCTAAAAATTCCAACCGAGCCCGTGCTTGGGACTACGGTTGATGCCGTCCGATGTTTCTTCAGTAAGTACAGAGATATCCACGGAAGTTGTGTAAGGTCATTGTATGGCAAATTGCACCCTTGCCCTTTTAACGGAAGCCAAATAAAGAACTGACGTTGTAGCATATTGTAGGGTCGTTGTCCCAGACACGTCTTCTAGGAGGATGTCAATTCCTCATTGGCTAACAGTATGAACTCATCAAAACAAATTTCATTTACTCTGTCCGGACAGTACCTTGGTTCTGTTCAGTTTCACGTCTTTCATTTCAGATGCTTTGTCGGGTTAATGCTCAATGATTCCTGCTTACAAGTACAGCTTCTTTCTGCTCACCACCACACTCCTCCGAGGACCAGCACTCAGGCCACCGAGCCACACCAGCCAGGGCTCACATCCATACTTATTAAAATCACATTTAACACTCACTATTTTCTTATCTTTTCACTTTTATTATCTTCTGTCAGAATATAGTTTGGGATTTTTTTCCCAAAATATTTTTAAGCACTGGGTTTTGAACAAGCACTCAAATTGGTGAGTGTATCAGTCACATTTTGTATTTTTTCATAAATAAAAATAATTTAAAATTTATATTTTTATGTGATTATTACAAATGCACATATACATGTAAATGTGGAGTACTAATATTCACTAACACACGTACATAGTGACTAACTGCTTTTCCCTCTACTTTTGTACATATAGACTGTAAATATTAAAAAAAAAACAACACTTTTACTGGTTGTCAGTGTGGGTTTTCTTGTTTTGAGTTGATCTCACTCTCATCTGTATATCTGGTCCAGTTGGGCCAAAACGTTATTTTGAACAACTCTGGTCGGTTATGGTGATAAAGACAGATGTCAACAGCTGATAATGCAGATAGAACTAGAGATAATAAAAGACATTCTTGGAAATATTACGTTTGTTTTACTGTGGGCCATACCTTTCATGATTTAAATTAAAATAATTCTTTTTAAGTTAGTTTAATAAACATTACATTATAAATATCCCTTTTATGTGTGTATCTTAGTTTACTTTTTCAACCATTGTGTTAAAAATTCTTCTAGTTGCTTAAAACTGAAACATCTGGATGGAACTCTGAATAGAGAAGAAACAAACAAAAAAGAGTTCACGTGGAGGTATCTTTTTTCTCTCCAGAGTTACCTACAGTAGTTTAGCAAAATCATCGTGTTTTAGAGATTTGGTTTCATTTGCAAACTTTGGAGTGCCCTTACTCACGTTTACCATGTTTCCTGTCTTTCTCCCAAGTCAGCTCTGAACTCTTTCTACTCATTACTTAATAAAAATGAGAGAATTTATTCAGCAGTCAGAATTCTCAGATCCTTCAGACAATGAAACTTAGAAAGGAATAGACAGAAAAGTGTGCAAACTCTGCCACTCACTGTCTAAGCTGCTCATGACCATGAAAATCCAGCCCTGCATCTGATTTTAATTTCATGGTTAAATATGAGAATTGTGGAAACCAAGTCCCACTGGGCTCTTCTCAGCTTTCTCCTGATTTCTTTCTCAGCTAACTCCAGCGTTGTTTCACCTTTGACCTAACTTGACCTAATTCCCTTTCCCTAAAAGAAAAAGTCTTCATAAAGAGACACTGTAAATACAGGCCACCAGGTAGTATTGGCAAGAGAGAATAATTCATGCATTTGACTCATTTAAACCCATAAAGCATTTTCTTTGCTTGGAACCATTCAGGAAAGTAAATGAGTTTGCAGGATCTGTGTATTTTTGAATGCCCTATATCTCATATTGAAGAATTAAGTGAAAATTGCACTTTACTAAGAGATTAGTGAACTCTTGCCTAGGAAAAGGCAATAATTTTTCTTTCTGCTTGTTTGTAAACATCTGGGTGTGACAGAATGGTTAGGGGCACAGATTGAGGACTCCACTTTCTTAGTTTAAATCCTGTCTCTGCCTCATGCTACCTGTTATGACACGGCATGCTCCTTAACCTATCTGGGCCTCAGTTTCCTCATCTGTAAAATGGACACAATTGGACCTACCTCATCAAGCTTTAAGAACTAAAAGACTAAATGTGTAAAAGCAAGAAGTGCCTGACATACGCTGAGTGCTCTGCTCATTGTTGTCATTAAATAACTTTCTCATAGACTGAGAGAGCTGCTATCGACTCAAGTAAATGAATAGTTTTTAACTTCTGAGGGAAAATACATATTCTTTTCTTAACAGTCTTTCATAACATGGAATAAAGAAACCAAAACCATCTTTGAATATGAAGGCTTTTTTTTCTGTAATGAAAAAACTATTTTTTCACGGTGGTATTTCTATTCCTTCTTATATCCCAGCATGTTCTGAAAAAGAAATGAAATGTTCCATTCAAAAAAGTTAAACAGGAAGCAGCTGTTGTGCTCAATTTGGCAAGCGCTTCCCCCTGATTCTTCCCGAACTGCAGATCACAAAGCCCCAGAAGGAGTTCAGCTGTGGAGGCCAGGACACAATAGGCCGAAGGGAAGGGATCAGCTGGCTTTTCCCATATCCTGTCTTGTCCCCCCTCAACCCACCCACAGAGCCATCCTTGGCTCTGACTGCCACTCTGAGCAGTGGTTAAAATGCTGTTCTTTTCCATAGGAAAGAGTGCTCCAGCGCCACCAAGAGACGCTGTAGTATTTATCGGTTTACCCATTCCTGTGGTGCTCTGACTTTGACAAATTCTGAAGAGGGACTTTGGGTAAAAAGAAGACTTCTTAATAAATCTGCAAAATTCATACTGTAACGTCATTTCCTGTATGAAATGAAAGAACCCACCACAAAGAACAGTACAGCCTTTGGGGGCTGATTGTGGGAATCTTTCAAAGCTATTTGAACATAGGTGGTGACTACTTCCAGCCAGCCAAATGCCTCACCTTACACCACAACCATGGGGCGTAAGTGATGGCAACTCCAGAAACATCAGAAATAGGAAAGGTGATCACCTGGGAGGCATCGGTGTCCAGCATAATCCGAATTCCAGTTTTTTAAAAGCTGATCAATAATTTAAAAATGTTTGAACTGTGACATCATGAGAGGAAGTTTATGTTCTTTCAAGATAATGACTTGGGAAGAAGATAGTGTTCTTATATCAATGCTTTATTTAAAAACCATCCCAGTGTGTTGAAATAAAGAACAAACTGATAGTAACCAGAGGGGAGGGGATAACGGGGGGAAAAGGGAGAAGGGTCATCAAGGAACACGTATAAAAGACACATGGACAAAGCCAAAGAGGGTGGGATTAAGAATGGGAGGTGGGGTGGCTGGGGTGGGAGAGTCATGGGGGAAAAGGGAGACAATTGTACTTGAACAACAATTTAAAAAAAAAAAAAGAGGAAAAATAAATAAATAAATAGTGCCCTAGAAAATAAAAAATAAACAAGAAAGTTCATTATTTATATTATATAATAATGTAATTATGTATACTATAAAATGCATACTTACAGGTTACACATTATATTAATATATTATGCATTTATATTCTTTATATTGACTTTCTCAACATGTAAAAGTAAGCAGACTAGTTACTCTTAGTTATTTCAATAACTTCAACAGTGTTGTAGCCACATCTTAGTTTCTTAGTTTCCAAAGCATCACAATGCTATTTTTCTACTAATAAATTTTGATATGATTTTATCACTTTAATATTTTTTGTAAAACTAGCTGCAATTTCTTTAAAGTTGACATCTATTGGCTACTAAATATGTGTACATGTATACACATAAATAAATTAATAAATGAGTGAATGAATGAATAAATTAATTTTAAAAATCCAGTCCTAATGCTTTATAGTTAAATGTCATAGGCAAATATTTTTTAGGCTCTAAAATATAAAGTTCCTACCTTCAGAGGAACTACTGAAGGTTGTGTATAGCTTAAAAATAATAAATATGATAACTGAAGTCTTAGATTTTATGTATAAATCCTACCATTCTATTTTCTACCATCAGACATAATTGCTACCCCTATCTTTGTAATATGCCTACTATCTCTCTCTGCAGCATGCTGTTCACTCAGTGTAATCAAGATGATAGTTTCAAACATCCAGTAGGAATCGGAGTAACAGTTGACTTGTTTTCAATAGCAAAATTGAAAATCATGGCAATTAATAAAATGGGGCCATTGGAAATGGAAAATGAATAGGCTCTGGAATGTAACTTTACCAACACATAACTAGTGAGCATCTTCATTAGCAACATGTGTTATAAAGAGGAGGCAAGGTGATACACTGGAAGCTTTTGTTGTAAAGATTATATATTTACTGGCAATAAGGAAGGCTTCCTGAACTGATGATCAGGGTAAAACTTCATAGGATGCTTTAAAACCAGTGATATCCTGACAAATCAGGAGCAATAGACAGTCCTATCACTATCATTTTTCAACTCTTGGTGTTTCTTTTCAAAGTATTCTTTATACTCCATTTTAATTGCAAGCATCCTTAGCTCGTCAGACCTCTTCCGTGTTTCCTAGTGCACGGGGTCTGGGAAGTAAGGCCTGCTTGAGTGTGGTTGGTAGGGTAATAATATGGTTGTAATAATTTCTAGTTTTTTAAAAGATCTTTATTTATTTTTAGAGGGGCAGGGAGGGAGAGAAAGAGGGAGAGAAATACGAATGTGTGGTTGCTTCTCATGTGCCCCATACTGGGGACCAAGCCTACAGCCCAGGGATGTGCCCTGACTGGGAATCGAACTGGTGACCTTTTGGTTCGCAGGCCTGTGCTCAATCCACTGAGCTACAAAAGCCAGGGCAAATTTATATTGTTAATTTGAACATTTCACCTAAAATGTCATATGGTGTGAATGTGATATTAGAGAATATCACATTCATTGTTATGAATGTGAATTATAACAATTATCATTGTTATGTTAGAGAATTATATGCTTATACTTTTATAAAAAAAGATTTTGTAATAAAAAGAAGTGGTATTATCTGTGCCAGATGGAACCTGGGCATGTCTACATTTTCGTGGTTCTACAGCCAACTCTTCAGGCATATTTCTTCCTTTGTATCCCAGCATCCCATAATATTTCATAGTGGGTAAAAATCACAGAGCATACAAAATATATGTGTGTCTGTATACATAGATGCACACACATATCCTTATTTCTGCTTGCACACAGGCCCAGCTATTTGCCTGTGCCCAGTCTAGCAATCTCAAACAGAAAACACTTGAAGCTGGGAAATAGGAACATGCATGTAATGCATGTGTTTTAGGGTTTCTATGCCAGGATCTTTACATATTTTTTATCAGTGTGGTCTCCACTGACGTGCCCCTTTTATCTAATTTTTTTAATCAGATGTGCCCCTTTTGCCTGAACCTCTTGCAGATCCTAGGTTACCCATACTTGAAGCTTTGTTCTAAGCCACCATTAATCTTTTATGGAACAAGGTAGGGACAGAAGGCATGAGTAGGTATCCACATATACCAAAGCTCACTGGCTAAGGCTGAGCAGTGCCTCTGTTTTCTGAGTTTACTTGGACATGGATGAGACCTTGCATCTGACCTACACTCATCCCCGACTCCCTCGGTTTCTTTGTGTTGTTTGCTTTGTGTGTGTACATTTCAGTAGCTGCGTGTTCCTGTCTGTCTGCTTTCTGGTCGGCTGCTTGCTCTAACCCTACATCCTGACTGTTGTTGCTCTGCACAATTTCCCAGCTGTCTGTAGCCCTAACCTTCAACTTATGTGCCCTTGGGGCACAATCTGGGTCTGACGACACTCTGCTCAATAGCTGTCCCATTGCACAACAGACAGACGTGTCATTCAACCAACTTAACACCCACTGGTCTGACACTTGCCAGTTTACAGAGTGTTTTGATCTCATTTTTTTTCATGACCATCCTGTGAAATAATTGTACCAGCTCATTTTTCCTGAGAGGTGGAAACTAAGAATTCAGTCCTCTAATATTTGACAATAGTTATGTACTTCC